TGGAGTCTACAGATTTGGGTAGAAAGATTAAAAATAGAAATAAAAAAGATACCTGAAAGATTCAGACTAGCTAAGGATATGAAAGGAGATGACTCTGTGGTGTGAATATACAATAAAGTGTAGGTGAAGGTATCCTGGGCATTATGGCGCATTCCTTTAATCCTAGTACTCAGGAGTTAGAGACAGGCAGATCTCAGTGAATTGGCCAGTCCAGTCTACAGAAAACCAAGGAAACCAAGACCACATAATAAAACCCATTTAGAATAAATAAACAAACAAACAAATAAATAAATAAATAGTTATTTGACCGAATCAAGGATAAGATTTGAAATTCTTAGCGAAGCAGCACTTAGTGGTACACACTTGTAATCCCAACTGCTGGGCAGCAAAGGCAAAAGGATGCCCATGTTTGAGCCAGCTGGAACTATACAGTAAGTTCTAGGTCAGCCAGAACTACAGTGTGCCATGCTGCTTCAGATCAGGAAAGGGAAAGGAGGAAGGAAAGAGGGAAGGAAGGGGGAGAAGAGGAGGAGGGGTAAGGAAGAGGAGAACAGGGGACATGGGGAGGAAGAAGAGACAGAGAAGAGGAAGAGGAGGGTGAAGGGGAAGAGAGCAGGGGGAGGAGGAGAAGGAAGAGGAAGAGAAGGTAGAGGAGGAAGGGTAAGGAAGAAGAGTAGGAGGAAAGTATTGCTGTTAGGGATGGTGGCTAACTTGAAATTTATACAAGATATGGATATAAATTAGACAAGGAAACAGAAACAGAGAAGATGATTACGCAAGGCAGAAGAAGCATTAGAGGAAAGGAACTGTCATGGGGATTCAAAATACATGAGATATCAGAAAGAAAAGGGAAAAGTAAGAAGTTTTTTTTTAATGTACCTGGAACAGAAAGCAAGACTCCCAGAGAGAAACAGTAGGCTATGGGGTCACTCAAAACATTAAAAATATGTAAGAGGAGTAAAAGATGCTTTGGTTTATCTTCATTTGGGATCAAAGAGAATCTCTGAAGTGTTTCAACTCTCTCTCTCTCTCTCTCTCTCTCTCTCTCTGTGTGTGTGTGTGTGTGTGTGTGTGTGTGTGTGTGTGTGTGTGCAATATACACACAATAAAGTTTAAGGATGAGAAAGAATGTTACCAAAATTTTGCAAACATCTTTTGTAGTGTGCAAAAGAAAATAGAAGAGGAAAACAGTGAATGGAGTGATATCTCTACTCAGAAAATGATTCATCCAATTACTGATGATGAAAAATAATACTTTTTCAGACAAAAGGGGACAGTGATGAAACAAAATGGCCAATTAAGACATTCACAGAAATCTAAACAAACAGCTCTAGGTAAAGTATCAAACAGGAAATACAGAGGAGAGTTATGGTGCTGGGATTATTCTATGATTTTAGATTCTGAACTAGATAAATGGTTGTTGCAATCATGCAGATGAGAATTGCAATCAAAGAACATACTCTTCTGCAAGAAGAAATTCAAAGAGAAAGATCTGACAGAAGTCACCAGGCAGGTAAATTACTGGTGGTGAGAGACTGAGATCAGTTGGAGCAGGCAACAGGTGTGTTCTAATCCATGCATTCTAAGGGACCAATGCAACAGTCAGTGATCTATCTCAAGGAAAGGTACTTTCAGATATACTTGACATTCCTGAGAACCTCAGGGACCTGCAGAGTCAAGACTATCTTCACAATACTACTATAAGTTCATTTGTGTTCAAAAGACTTAAGGCACAGCAAATACAACATGCCTGGATGCCTTCTAGTAAGATGACCCCCCCCCAAAAAAAAACACCACAACAACAACAACCAAAAAAACAAGACAACAACAAAAAAGAAAAACAAAAGGCTAAAATGCCACAGATCTCTTTATTTTCTGAAAATTACAGATTTTCTGATTAAAACTGCATATATTACTAGCCAATGTTTTCACCATTACTAATAAATTGACGTGCTTTTAATTTTACATAACCCTCACAGATATATTGTGGATCACAAAGACAGAGTAGAAGGCACTTTCAGTCCCTGAAGTTTGTAAATTGACTTAAAAAAATGAGAGCACCTTCCTAAGGGACATGAGTCACTGGGGAGGCTCAAGAGCACTTGAAGACCAATGTATATAATAACTAATGTCTTTGATGCAGTTAATCTTGGCCAACATTATTGCTGTATAATATGCAAAACAAACCTGCAAAATACAAACTTGTCCCAGAGAAAAGCATTATCAAGAAAGCTAGTATTCCTTTCAGGCACCACAGGATTTACAAGGTTCTTATTTGTTTGTAGTATCTTAAATTTCATATCATTGTTACTGTCAAAAGTTATATAGCAGAAACATTTGTGGGCTTCTAACGTTTTAGGAGATAACCCTTTGTACAGAAGGACAAGAAGCCTTCAGAAGAGCACTCAGGCTCACATTGGCAGACAGTGAGCAGCATCCATTCTTCACTACCAGGGACACCCTGATCATTGGGCAAAATCTTAGAAAGAGTGTCAGCCACTAACTTGGAGTTCATTCATCAGAAAAAGAAATAATAGCATTCCCATTGTGGCTCTGAAAGTCATACATTTCTCTATCAAGACTGTTAGAGATGCTTTGCTTTTAATGCTAAAGCTCTGAAATTTCAACATAATCCCTTTGTCCACCTCTGTCACATTTTCATCAATTGCAACTAGTCATGTGTATGGCATGGAGCAGTTGCCCAGCAAATCCAGGCCCCACAGAAACTGTCAGCTGGCTGATGCTGCCTCGATATTCCCCAGCATCTTACAGAAGAATGGATTTACCTGAATCCCATCTAATACAGGCACTCCCCATCCTTAGATTGCTACTCCTCACATAAGCATCTATATGATACCCTGGAAAAACTAGCTCTATCGCAACCCACTTCCAACTCCTCCCAATGTGACATATATACTCGACATTCAAGTTCTCTAATGCTGTTCACATCCTTCCCCACTCCGTCTTCACACTGTCTGCGCCTCTGATTTATATACTCTATTACTTTGTACCAGTATTTCATACACTTTTGTGGGCATGTCTTTGATTTCTCACCTCATTGCATTGCTCTGAAATAAATTCATGCATTGAAATTGAATTATAAAATTTCTTATGTTTGCAAGTCATACACACAAACCTGAGTTTATATATATATATATATATATATATATATACATGTGTATATATATATATGTGTGTGTGTGTGTGTGTCTATGTGACAGCTGGAGAAAAACAATTATTAATAATGCATGCTGACAAATAACATAAATGTTTAATGCATTTTCAAATATCTCTTTTTTTCAGTGTCTTTAGTGTTTTTGAACCTCAAGGCAATGTATTATAGTAAAATTCGTGTGGTATTAGACACATGCCTTTGTCCAAAAAGGCAGGAAAGGATAATAATGAAGGTATCATTCTTTATTTCATTTCCCAACCTATTTTTAAACATCCTTGTGATTTGGTTTAGAATCACAGAGGAAAAACACATTGAGTTTCCCCAGTATACATGGTCCAGTCCAAAGGTGGACGTGTGCATGAGTACACATGTGAACATGTGTTCATGTGGTGTGAGTGTGCATTCATGGGTTGGTTCACTGTGCATTCATGTGTGTGTCTACTGGCCCTTATTCCAGGAAGGGGTTTTAATAATACCTAGAACAAAACAATAAAAGAGAAACAATTGGTATATTGTCTCTAACTGATCTAAAAAGAGGGAAAGACGAGTGTGATTAAATAAGTCAATGGGTAGAACTAATCCAGTTTCAACAGAGCAACACTGTCATAGTAGTCATCTTAGATTTTAAAGGAAAAAACAGATGATTCAGTCTCCCTGGAACACTGTGTTTCAGCTGAAAGGCTTCCAGAGTCTGCAATCACTTGCATATGCTGTGTCCTTTCTCTATGACTTGCCCAAACACTGTCTTGTTAGTGGGTCTAAGAAAGAGACTGACAATTAAACACCCTGAATAATATTATAGGGCATATTCAGAAGACATTCCTCATCAACCTGGTTCAGGGAAACATTTAAATATCTACCCATGGCCCCATAATCTCATGTTATGCTGGGTGTGGATGCATCACTTTCTATGTATCATTTCCTTATATGTCTCTGTACCAATACACAACTTTGAACTATCAGGCTAATTTACAACATTGTATTTTCATAAATGTATGTGACTCCACTAATCTTAAAGAATTTTAGATTCCAGCTCCAAAAATAAGAACTTTTAATCATGTAAAAGCATGTCACTCTCTAATTATTATTACACAGTATTACTTCAAAGAAGAGGGAAAAAAAACCTGGATTAGATATAAAAGAGAGGCCCACGTGCACAAATTAAAAGGGATATCACAAGTAAGAGGATATAAGCTTTAGCTTCTTTCCTGAGGATTTAGCTCAGAGCCAGCATCTAGAAACAGAACTTAGGAACACAGCAAATTGAAGCAAAATGTAGGCCATGTTTGAGGCTAGCCAGAGGGAAGACATCGCTCTCTAGAGCTTACAGACACCTGTGAGTTGCTTCAACGAGGCATAGTTTTCCCCATTGCGGGTCTACCTTTATCCAAAAGAGGTTTGCCATCAAACAATGGCTCAAGATACAATGCAGAGAGAAAAGACAGAGAAAAGATTCAGAAGAAGTTATTAAACTCACTAATGATTGCAGACATAAGAACTTTGTAGTGATGTACATATTCCCTGTTCATTTTCTCTCTGGACTTTTTAAAACAATTTCTTGGTAGCATCAAAGTGAAATATTTATTATCATATGTATAAGTGTGTTTATATGTGTACACTTACCACTTACACATGTATCCCTTCCAAAACAACTGTATATGAAAATGGAAAAAGATTAGGTAGAATGATACAACAATCTTAAAAACTAGAAATCATTCATACTAAAATAACAGATATAATAGTTGTTAACCTATCTTCCTTATAATTGCTGCTTAGATCGAGTCTGTTAGAGGGAAAGGAAGCAATAAATTTGACCCTAACTTACCGCACATTTTAATTGAACAATATTCCCAAGGGGTGTCAGGGTCAAGAGTGTAGCACCACGGCCTGGGCTTGCCATCAGGGTTGCGGCAGTAATTATCATCAAAGCCCTTGTCGGGATATCTGCAAACCACACCAGGAAAAGTGTCACGTAAATCTGCCTGGAAACACCGTACAGGCCGCAATAGCTCTCCACGTAACTTGGAAATGAGAGCTTGGAAATGAACGGGGTTCCCACCTTTTCCTTTACAGGACCTGTCAGTCACTAACTGTCCAATCTCACTACCCATTCCATTAAGGATACAGTATCACCCACTTTGTTACGAAGGTAAGTCCATTTTGGACCTGTCCACCAATTAGAATCTCCAACTGCATCTCCTTTTCACAGAGTCCAATTAAAGACAAATTCCACAAACATGACCTCGTGTAGAATGCTCATTAGGGGAGCAGGTTCTTTCCTGGGGCAGGCTTAAACTTCAAACTGAAGTCCGCTTTCAATAGCTCTGCTACTAATGACAGCTCAATTTTGGAAATGGAGCCTTGCTAGGTCATGCCCTCACCTCCACCAGAGCAAGAGACAAACCCCATCACACCACTTTCCCCACAATCCACCCCCCTTTAAATTAGCAGCGCCCTGAGCTGGTGATTGGAATTTAATTGCTACCATATCCTTTCTGGTCTTACTTAAAAGAAATGACATGCATTAAAAAAAAAGTTTTCATCTTATTTATAAGAACAAAGAGAAGAAATAAACAAAAACACAGAGAAAAAATTCAAAAAGCAATTCATACCAATTTCTAAAGGAAGGTGGAGACTCGTCATTTATATTTTAATTCTTTATTATAAAATTAACTCCATTTTGTTTTCTTTTCTCAACTCAAGGTTTTTACATGAAATTAATGTCTCTATTGGCAATTTTAAAATACATGAGGGTAAAACAGCCAGAGAATTGTTTTGTGCTATCTTGCTTTTCACCATGGACATGAAGAATGTTAAGGTATTAAATGTATGGCCCAAGTATCTGAAGATGCTAGAAGAAATTTGGTCATAGTTAGCAATATACTATCTGCCAAAAGGTTGGGTCTATTAAAGTAGCCATTATCTTATTAACCACATCGAACTGTTTGTTTATTGCTATGGGAAACAAGAGAAGGCTCTGCTACTCCTTCCATTCTGTACCCTGGAAGTTTTGCTCAAAACTCTTCCTTACTTTAGCAACTCAATTGGAAGTTTACTGGTCTCAAATGTCGGTCATAAATTCTATCACCCCAAGCCTCAAGCCACCAGCAGGTGTGGCAGAAGCCAAAATATTAAGACTAATTCCACATTATCTGCCTGTGTGCGATAAGGAAAGTATAGAGGGAGATTTTCCATGGTGGTTTGTTAAAGAACCAACAAGTTTGTAAAGAGAAATCTATGGGAGAAAGATCAGGGGAGATTTTACCTTTCAGGCAAGAATTTGTGCCGGTGTGGTGTCTGATGATCCCAGCGCTGACAGGTCTTGCCTGATTCTGTGTGATCCATGGGACCCCGGTAGCTTTCACCATTGCAGGTCATGCATTCAACTATTAAAATTAAAGTATGTTATGTTAATGTTTCTGGTAGTAAAACCAATACCATTGTTCTGTTTACAATAGTAAATTAATCAGTTATGAAACAGCCATACACACCATCCTAATTTTAAATTAGGATCTTATGCCCATAATTAGAAGTATAAAAAAATGCCTATGGAATGTAATTTAAATATTTTGAGTTAGTGCCATCTAGATTTAGCATGAGGTCAGAATGCTGCCTGGTTTTCAATAATTATTCAAAAATACATCAAAATTGAAAATGTAAGGTGGACCCTTGCAGACTGCTTCCCTGTGAATTGCTGTACAAAATCTTGGGGTGTGTGTGTGTGTGTGTGTGTGTGTGTGTGTGTGT